AACGTTATAGCTAGAAACCATACCTTTATCCCCCAATTGATAATCCTCCCAGCGGAGTTCCTCATGACTTTTTTCTTTATATGCTGGCATTGCTGATATTGACTCCAATTTCCCAGCAGCACTAGTCCCAGTTCCACCATCGGGTTCAGGAGTTGCAGTATATGCAACCACTCTACTGCCTCCGCGTTGCTGGCCCCCAAAAGCTGACTGCCCAAAGGCACTAGTGTTCCCAAATGTTGTTGATTGAGCAACTGCATCACAAATTATAAGAATATAATACAACTACAACAATACAAAACAGATTGAGGCATCTGGCTGGTCCATTTTATTTTTTCAAAATGTACCACCACTCATATGCATCTGGAATACTCACCAAATGGAGAACTCTGTGCTCCAAAAGGAGATGAAGCGGCAAATGTAGAACTTGATTGGCCAAAGGCAGGAGTTGATGGAAAGCTGAAAGATGGAGTACTGGATGAACCAAAACCAGGAGCACTTGAAGCACCAAAAGCTGGATTGGTTGAAGTACCAAAGGTCGAGCTAGATGAACCAAAAGCCGGAGTGCTTGAAGCCCCAAATGCTCCCCCAGATCCAAACAAGGGAGAACTTGACACCCCAAATGCAGCTCCTGTGCTTCCAAATGTAGGACTTGTTGTAGAACCAAAGGCTGGGCTACTTGTAGCTCCAAAAGCTGGGGTGCTTGTAGCACCAAAACTTGGGGTGGTGGTAGCACCAAAACTTGGGGTGGTGGCAGCACCAAAGGCTGGACTATTTGTAGCACCAAAGGCTGGGGTGCTTGTAGTACCAAAAGCTGGGGTGCTTGTAGCACCAAAGCTGGGGTGGTGGTAGCACCAAATGCTGGCTGACTTGATCCACCAAATGGCGTGGAGGAACCAAATATACTGCTCCCAAATGCTGGCTGTGATGCTTGAGTTGTACTTCCAAAAGGACTTGTTTGAGCAGGATTGGACCCAAATGCTCCAAACACAGGCTTCTGACCAAAACCAGATGAACCTGTTGAGAAAGGTGTGTGCATATGGGGGAGAGAAACGGATAAAAAATCATCAGTGACAAGAAGTTATCAAAATAGAAAAACAATTGAGCACAGAGAGATGAATAACATGTATGCATTGAGCATCCCATTATAACTAGATCAATCTTGTTGATGAGCTTCTAAAGTGGAAATGATTCCACACATGAAGTGGAATGCAAAGTGAACACATGCCCCTTGAAATACAAGATGAAACCAATCCCTATTCCACTCTCAAAGTCTTAACTCCCCCCTTATGATATTTGTCGTTTCACAAGCCAACTGTACCAATAGATGTGTACCAAATAGAAAGTTTCAACAACAATATATCCATCTTGTACGGAATGCATAATCCACTCATACATTTCCAGAAAAACGCTTGATGCAAACTTGAAGGGCATTAAGAATGATAGTAGACAATGCAAATGATTTCCAATAACCATATATCATAAAAGTTATATCAAATGAATCATTTGAAAAGTGGTAAGCGAACAAAAAACGAAAAAAATAATAATAATAATTCAAATTTAATCCACTTGCTTACCACCAAAAGGTGATGGTGAAGGACTAGAAGTTGCTCCAAAAGCAGGCGTTGTATTTCCAAAAGCTGGTGAGGATGCAGGACCGAAGGTTGTGGAGGTAGGAAAAGATGAAGAAGCTTGAGTTGCGCCACCAAATACACCAGTTGAAGTTCCTCCAAACATGTTACTCCCTGTTTGCGCACCAAATGGGGTTGTGCTACCAAAAGGCTTAGGGGCAAAAGGATTGTTATTTGTGCTGCTGGTCTGCCCAAATACCGATTGAGACCCAAACGGGCTGCTAGATGACTGCCCAAAAGCTGTTAAACAATATTCCACAAGTAAGATTATTTTCGCACCGCAAAAAATTAACAAGCCCGAATATTTATCAGACAATCAAACAGTATAACCGGAAGACCAGATAAACACAAGAAATTGCCCGTAATCATGCTGCTAATAAATGCATGTCATACTCATCTTACAACGAAGCAAATAAAAAGTGTATCGACATCTTCCAAAAATCTGACATATGATTGATGAAAATACATAAACCAATTATTCCTTGACCTCGAGCTATTGATGAAAATACATCAACGAAGCAAATAAAAAGTGTATAGCGAGAAGCTTACGATTAGGAGAACCGAACATCCTCTCTTCCGATTCAGCAATCAAAACCCGTGCTATTTCCTTGACCTCGAGCTGCAATGCATACAGAACACAGAGTTAACACAAATTGCAGCACAAAACACATAATTAACAAAGCATCGAGAATTCAAAAACACAAGAAATCCCCAAAACGCGAGACGAACAAAACACAAACGACAGCATTAACGCATTAAATCAGGCATTAAACGCAATCCTAAACCTAATCACCAGAAGAAAACCAAGGGTTAGGGTTTTTTTAAGTACTTGAAAGTGAGCGAAGGCGAAAGTACGGATTTGGAAGGCGGAGGCGTCGGTCGTCGATCTGAACTCGACGAAGGTTGTGAGTTTTGATATCGGAGGCGGCGGAAGGCGACGTAGAGAGGGCGAGGGAGGAGGGTTCGGAGCCGCGGAAGAGAAATGAGAGAGCGAGGGCGAGTTGTCGCAACCTCTCGAACTCTCACAAATGTCAGAAGAGGAAGAAGGCGAAAGGTATTTACACGAGTGGGAGGGAAGTGAGCGACGGGCGCGTCGCGTAAATAGTAAGCACGTAATTTTAGCGTGAAGAGTAAGTCCGTAAACCTATCCAAGGAAAGGAGGAGTCTTCACTTCGGACAAGTCGGTTTTCAATATTTGTCCTCTTTATATATATTTTTTTTCTTTTGGAATATTTTTTTATGTATGTCCTTAACGACACGTTAACTTATTCGAAACAGGTGAAATCACAAGTTAGACAGGAAGGTAAGTAGAGTTGAAATCACAAGTTACAGACATATTTACTTATTTGAAACAAGTGAAATTGTAACTAAGAGAAGAAAGTAAGTAAAACTGAAATGGAAAATGTGGTTAATGAAAATACCGTATTGTTGTTAATGACATGTTTACTTATTCAAAACGGGTGAAATCACGAGTCAAAGAAGAAAGCCAATACAACTAAAAAATAAAATGAGTTTAATGAAAGTACCGCATTGTTGTTAATGTTATATTTCTTTATTTGAAACAGGTGAAATTACCCTAAGGCTACACCGAACATCCAATCACAACTCTCTCTCTCTCTCTCTCTCTTTTTTTTTTTTTTGAAAATACTGAAAAGATATTTTTGTAGTTAATATAAGAAAACCCATCCCCCCTTTTTTTTCTTTTTTCTTTTTCTTTTTTGTAAACGCCCTTTTCTTTTTTCTTTCTGGTGAAGAAAGCACCCCATCCTTCTCAATTAAATTTAGAAGGATCATCCTCACCGTTCGATCATTTTCGCATTAGATCAGCCACGCCCCTTTTTCCTGGCACAAAAAGAACAAGGTGAATGTTAGTTTCCCAAAAAAAAAAAAAAAAGGCGAATGTTAGATACAGAAACGTCCATTTTCTTTAATGTGAGTTTTAACATTAACAAAGTAAACCATCACTCAACAAAAATTAACACACGAAACTTAGTTTGCTAGATGGCAAGATAATGAGAAGGGTGGGATCACAACCCTATCAAAGCAAGCTTAGGGCACAACTTCAAGTAACATAAAAGACGTTAGGCGCTAGTAGCGCTAGCAACACCTATTTGTACAACACAGGAGTCTTGTTTCAATCCGAAATGTGATTGAGATGGGAAAGGCGCAGAACAATAAATCAGTTGCTTGGGCAATAAATAGAGAAAAAAGTTAACCAATCATCAATTAAAACCTTTTATGATTAAAAATTAAAAACTTACAGCTCCTTAATTAAAACCCATTAGGCTGCTTGTAGCACCAGCATCACTGAAGATTCCCAAATAGAGGTGGCAAATCAACCAATTCGATTGTTAATGGTATCCATTAAGACTTTTAGTTTGATTTCACCTTACACCATCATCACACTACCAATCTCACATTTATATTAAAGTGATATCAAATTGAACGGATTTTAATAGATATCCATTAAGAATCCGATGAGTTAATTTGCCACATATATCCTCAAACCAAATGGACTGGTAAAAGCACCACCTTTCTGGGCAGTTGGAGGTGTGGGATTGAAAGGATTGGAATTAAATGTGGAAGTCGTTGTAGCTGGAGCAGAAAATGAAAATCCAGAGCTTGACGAACTAAAGAGAGATGGAGATTGAGGTTTAAGGGAAAACTGTAAGAGGTTGGGATGGTGTCAAAGCCCTTATATATCATATGCATATAAACTATAAAGTATACAAAAGAATTCCATTTTGTTTCCTCTTGTTTTTTTATTTGTCCATACATACTGTGTCAAATAGATCGAAATCGGGGAGAATTTCTGAAATGTAAAGTTGTTGTGAAGCTGTATTAGTGAAGGATGGAGTTTTTGGAGCAGACAAATTAGATGAAGTTGTGGCATTAAAAGGACTTGATGCTCGAGGAAATGTCCTTGTTGGGGGGGGGGGGACCACCTGGAAGTCGAAAAGATAACATTGAACTCGGCAAGTGTCATTATTGCTGAAAAACGCGGAAAATTTCCAAGATACTGAAATGTTATATAACTAGGAAACCATACATTTATTAGAGACCCAGCGCTTAAGTGGCCTAGGTGGATTTATGTAAAATTTATTGTATATCTTTTAAATAAGTGTTTATTAACACTTCAAAGAAAACCTATACTTACCTGGATAATAAAAAAAATGATAAAATGCAAAAATAGAAGTAGAATAATACATAAAGTACATGTATTTAACAAGTTCAATATTTAAAAAGGTATCATGCCTGAATCTAACTGGGGTTCGTGGTGGTGGAGGAAATGGATCGGAAAAAGGAGGGCTTCTAGTTGTAAGATATCTAATGAAACCATCGTTAGAATTGAGATCTCATTCAAAGAGAAAAGATATCAAATATCTTGAGTTTTCATTAAACATATTATCATTGTGAGGAGTATACATGGATGATACATGTATCCAACAAGTTCACAATTTAAAAATACATAAAATGCAAATTAGAAGGAATAAGAAAATATAATTATATAAGATAATTGCAAAGTTGTAAAGCTAAGCATCAATCTCTTCTTCTCCATATCCCTCTAAGACTCTTTCTCTATGTCAGACTCAAACTCAACTTCATCATCTCTTTCCGTGTCCTCATCCGATACAAAATCTTCATCATGAAGTTCTCTCACTTCAACATTTCTAAAACTCCTCCTAGGCTCTAGGAAACTTACCCACCTCCGATGTCTCTCCATCCATTCCTGAATCAAGCTCAACTTCTTCATCACTACCCTCCACAATCCATCCTTGCACCATACTACAAGTAATATATCCATTTTCTGCTTCTTGTTTCTTTTCTTCTTATTCATGATCTCTGCATTGAATTGGACAGACTAAATTATTTAATCTTGTTATATTTAATCTATTAATTTTCTTTTGTATGTATCTCCTCAAAAGTGCTCAAATTCCTCTCACAACCGGATGAACTTGTAGTCAATGAGAGAATCTTTATAGCCCTCCTTTGCAAATTAGGTATACAATTTCTATAAATATACCACGATGAAACTAAAGCAGAAAAAAAAAACACGATTAGTAAAAAAAAACAGAAGTAGGAAAGCCAAATTTAATAAATAAAATACAAGCATTATGTGAATATGAATACCTGGATTATAGTTGTCATCATTCTCAACGCATCCAACCTCGGCCAAATTCATCCTCTCTTTTTGTCATACTTATGCATCTCAAACATTTATCATTTGGTTTTGGACATCATAGTTATCCGGAAATAACTTCTCAAGACAAGTAAAGACGCCCTCCATGACAATTGGATCATGTTGTATGCTTTGATCTTTGAAGAAGTAATAAGGGTTCAAGAAGTAGCTCGCCAAATGCAATAGACTATCGAGCCGATCACAAACTTTTTCATCAATTATTTAGAGAATTGGTTGATAGTTGGCCTCACTATTTTTTAATGCCTCTTTAATCTCCTTCTTTGTTTTTTGTGGCTCGCCTTACAAAAATCTCATTGATGCATTTTTATCTCCATCCATATTCGAAGTACCATAAATAAAGGTTCAAACACTTTCAAGCAAAGTGAGACCCCACTCAAAGAATGCGCACTCACTATGGTAGCATATGTCGTTTTCCCCTTGGGGCTCTTGGAATGTTTGCAATGTTAACATTCATCACTAGCAACCATATTCTTTAAGTCTTTTCTCTAATCACTCAAGCTTTGCAATGTGAGAAAAAGGTTGCAAATCTAATGGACTCCAGCCTCACTATTTCTCTTTTTTCTTGTATGCTTCCTCATCCATGCCAAAGATTTATGATGTGCATAAATGAAGATAGTGAAAATTTTTACCTTGTCAATAACTCCCTTGAACCTAGGTAGATTATCAATCCCTTGAAGCATGAGGTTCCACTTAGATGATTTCCAAAACATGTTTGGCCTCTTTTTCTTCATCGTGTTGATCACCGCCATATTGTTAGAAGCATTATCGTTAACCATTTAAATTACATTTTGAGGCTCGATTTCTTTAAACACACTTATCAACATATTCAAAAATGTATTCTCCATTGAGTGCTTCACTAGGGCATTCCTTGGAAGAAAGAAATATGGTGCTTTCCTTGCAATTGTGACACAAATTCAGTATGCTTCTCCTCTTCTGGTCGCTCCAACCATCAATCATAATTATGTAACCATTCAAAGCCCACTCTTCTTCATTATTCTTAAGTGAATTTTTCACTCTTTACCTCTTCTTTCAATATAGGCTTTCTTAAATCGTATTGGCTTGAAGGTTGGTAACCCGAGTCAAATTGACCAACTGCTTATACAAAGTGTTTGAAACTATCATCATCAATGGCACATAAATGAATATAGGTTTTATACACCATCGAGCAAAAAATTGATACTTGATGAGCTCTATCCCCCCAAATTGCATCATGGATGTTTTGTTACCCCGTCTTCTTGCTTTTTTTAAGAATCAGGATTGATTGTGGATGCCATATCCTAATCCAAGAGTGCGCAACCTTTTCCTTGACCCAACAACGTCAATGTCTTCTTCTTCTTCAATTTCTTGAAGCTAAACCTCTTCCCTCACTTCCTGGTTGTGTTTATTCCTACGTTTCTTCTTACTTTTGGCTTCTTCTAATTGAGCTCTACATTTGACTTTATCCTCATCCGAAGACTTTGTGAACGATGCTACATTTCCCTTTTATGTTGGTTATGTGTTGTGTCAATTTATATACTCCACCACTAATTATTTCGTTGCACAACTTACATTGCACCTTATCTGAGCTTGTAAGATTTGCCAAATCCCATACTCCCATCCCACATCGTCTGAACTACCCTTCAACAAATTTTCAGTTTAAGAGGAAGATGACATTGCATTAGATGCTCCGAATAATGCAATGCCTAACATCTAAATATAATATTCCATTATGAGAACCAAACCAAAATGAGAATTAGCGTCAAATTCGACATCTCAAAAAAATTTAACCAAACCAATATGAGAACCATTCTCATAGAGTAAAGTGGAAAATGGGGTACGGGTACATTAAAAGCGTTCAAGAACACAACAACTTAAAAAGAATAGGAAAATTAAATAGTACAAATGATGAACTAATTTAAACTGAGACTCAAATTTAAGTCTGTTTGGGCCCAAAATAATAGTTTGGGCCGAGGGCAGGATCACTCTCGGCCCAGGAGGCCGGGCGGCAAAAGGGCCATGGATCGGTCAACCCGTGGGAGTCCAAACCTAGAGCGGTTAGGACAAGTCCTAGTGCAATGAGGAGTCTCGACGGGATCGGATATCCAGAAAACGAATCCAGCTTAGCTAAGGACTAGATTCATAGTCCTAGTAAATATAGGACTGGTCGAGGTGATCCGGAGAGGGAAACCTAGTCCGAGTAGGATTTAAACTCGGACTTAAGGATCAGTACTATAAATAGGGGACGCTGTGCACCAAGTTAGACCCCTGCAAATCAATACAAAATTGCCCTGCGCAAATTCTCACAACTTTGTGATTTTTCTTGTTCCTTTTTTCGCTGACACATCTTCCGTTGGCATCAACAACACTGTGGAAGCAACCGTTGATACCTTAAGTCGGCATAGATAGCTCTGTCACCGTAGAGTTAATCGGTCTCGCAGTATCTTCCGTTGGCATCAACAGCACTGCGGCGAGAACGGTTGATTACCTATCCAAGTCTCAGTCGAGAAGGGTTTCTAAATCCTTATTGGTCGAGGTCATCTCATCAGCCTTCTCGGCGAAGTGAGGTGTTACAGTTATTACATTCGGCACATTGAAAGTCGAATTTGATATTGAACTTCGTAAGAATAGTAACCTTGTCTTCAGGTTCGAGAGCCCAAGAGGCCGAGACGTGTTCCTTTCTCGGACGCAATCGCAAGACGCAGAAGTCAGTAGCGCGACCCAACGCAACATCAACAAATTTACTCCTCGGCCGAGCTCGGCCGACGAGTTGGCACGCCCCGCATTCACCGAAGGACGTAGTTAGCTCATTAATTACTCGGCCTGTGTGCCACGTAGGCTTTGTAGTTTTTAGGGTCAACATTTTGGCACGCCCAGTGGGACCCAGTGCTAAACTACGAAGTTCATGCCAATTGAAACACGATCGGTAAAAAAGAAAACAGCTATGGGAAAGTCGACAGCCGATTTGCCGAGTCAGAGCATAGGACAGAGTGTGCCACAGGCGCAGAATCCCCTTAGCGCTGGTACGCCTGAGTCCACGAGCGCGACTCGCCGAGAGAGAGAAGTTAATCTCGGCGGTCAACTCCGTGGTTCAGAGATCCCTAACAGGAACACATGCGTTCTCAATGAAGGGATAGTAGAGGAGTGTGATGAGGATGGTGGTGAAGGATCTGACCCACCAACGAGGTCGTTTCTCCGAAAGCGACTAGACGAGCAATCTCGGTCAGTCGAGCAGACGTTCAGTCGAGGCATTGACAAGCTGCATGATGCAATACTCAGTTCCAATGACCGACAAACCAGGTTGCTCGAGATGCTGGTTAGTAAAGTTGGGGCAGCAGGCCTTTCGAGCTTCTTCAACATTGTCCACCAGGAAACAACCCGGTACCGATTGTACCGGCCGAGCCTATTCCTGTTCCGCTCAAACCAATTAACTTGGAAAAATGAGGAGGGTTGAATAGTAGGTCGGACGGAACCGACCAGAGGATCGAAGCAACACCTGTTGATATGACCGAAGTTCAGCGGATGATCGACTCGGCCATGAAGAAAAGGCTGAATTTTCCCAAGTTTATTCATCCGTACCCAGCTTACGTGGAAACGTTTGGATACCCGAAGGGTTTCAAGATCCCAGATTTTAGTCTTTTTGCCGGTGAATCGTCCCTGTCTTCGTTGGAGCACGTGGCTCGTTTCACCGCGCAATGCGGAGATGTTAATAGTGATTTCCACAAGTTACGGCTGTTCAATTTTTCATTGACCGGCTCGGCATTTGCCTGGTACATCAATCTCCCTCCTAATTCCGTCCAAAACTGGGAGGAGTTGGTCGAGAAGTTCCACGAGCAGTTTTATCGGCCTGGGATGGAGATGTCAGTCTCTTCATTGGCACGGATGGCTCAGGCATCTGATGAGTCACCAATGGATTATCTTACTAGGTTTAAATCAGCTAGGAATTGGTGCCGAGTGCCTTTACCCGAAGTCGAATTTGTCAAGCTTGCTTTGAACGGCCTCGACGTCGAATACAAAAAGAAATTCCTGGGGGCAAATTTTCGTGATATGTACGAATTAGCCCAACATGTCGAGCAGTACGATTATTTGCTCCGTGAGGAAAAGATTTCGAAGACTCCAACTCGGGGGACGATTTACAAGAATCCTACTGTTAATTATGCATCGACCGAGGATGAATGCGTTAGTGTGGATGCGGCTGAGATAGTGATAGATAAGCCATACGTTTGCAAGGCATTGACTCAGGTTGATTCTAGAGAAGCCAAAAGTCGCTCGGCCACTGAAGGAACATTGAAACCGCCAAAGGTTTATACTTTTGATATTACCAAGGCTGACGCAATTTTTGACCAACTGTTATCAGCAAGAATCATCAAGCTTCGGCCTGGTCATAACATTCCTAAGGCCGAAGAACTTAAAGGAAAGGTGTATTGCAAATACCACAATTCGAGCAAACATACGACAAACAATTGCGTTGTATTTCGCGATAACGTCCAAAGCTGGATTGATAATGGCAAACTGAAGTTTCCCGAGAAGAAGATGAGTGTTGATACTGATCCGTTCCCCACGGCAACAGTAAATATGGTCGACGCGTACCTACCCAAGGACAAAGGGAAAGGCAAGGCCGAAGTGGTGGAGACGCAACGCCCGCGGAGTCAGAATTGTCGGCCACGGTTCATGGCCGATTTTCGTTCAAACAAGCCACATACGGTTTTAACGGGGCCTGCTATTGTCAAACCTATGATGGATTATAGCACCGATGAAGACAGTGGGGCGGCGGTTTTGTGCGGGAAATGTAGAGCGAAGGTCGACAGTGAACCAGAGGAGAAGCCCTCTTCGCAACTTGTGGCCACAACTCGGCCAAAGGTAGCCAATGAAGGCCAACATCATGGGGTTTTTGAGAGGCTCGGTCCTAAAGTACGGATGGAAGAGACACCCCCGGTCAGGCGGCGCCTCGATTTTGATGCTTCATTCTATGACGATGATTACCATAAGCGTAATTCTAGCAGTTCAGAATCATCGCGGAGCCAAAAGACCTTCAAGCCTCCCGAGCCTAGAGATCAACGTTGGTATACATACCATTCTTCGAAGGGCGTCTACACCGCGCTATCCAAATCTCAGAAACGCCGGCATCAACGGATAGATTGCATGGCTCGCCGACGAGCAGCCCAGGAAACTTCGGCCCCTAAGTGGCGGCCAAAGGACACAGCTGCCACTGATGATGAGTGACCACCTCCAGCAATTATGACAGAGTTGGCTCAAGGGAAACGGCTGGTCGATCAAGATGTCGAGACCATGTTTGAAGACGCTGATAAACGGATTAAACTTCTCATTCGACCAGGGGAGATGAAGGCACGCCTTGAACATTTCAGGCAAGAGGCCGAAAGCAAATTATACCCACCGGCTATACCAGAACCTTTGGTCAAAATTCGACGGAATTTGCATCCCCCATTCCTTGGGGAGTCTTTGGAGTATATGCGAGAATTTCATAAGAAACATTCGGCCAACGATCTGTATGGTTTGCCGAAGGCATGCCAGGACACCATTGATCTGGTCCTGACTTGCCCGGATGCTGAGCGGATCATCCAGAAGACCTCAGATCCAGGATTGAAAGCAAGGTTCCAGCACATCCGAGAAGCTCGTGTCCTTGGATTTGAAGTCGACCCATACACCGATATCAATGCAGCCGACCTTCCTTTCTCGCTGGAGGACCTTCAATATTTGCGATATCACTTTGAAGTATTTTCAGCAGTTTCTCTCTTCGGCCTTACGACCGATGAAATCGCACGTATTGCCCGTCTGGATGCTTATCTCGACACTAGGGATGCTCGGCTACACTACCAGGATCAGGTTCAGGTCTTGATCCCAAGTACATTGTCAATCTCGCCTGAGGCGGTCACGCAGAACCAACCTGTCGCCGAAGCAGCTCCGCCGGTTGACGTCGTCGAAGAAGGGACAGAAGAGTCTCGTTGTCCGACTTTGACAACAACTGAATCCGTAGTCGCCGACCAACCAAATGAGGAGGGTCTTGACCAAATGGGCCCGTCAGTCCTGGATAATATGGAAATTAGTATGGTCCATGTGTTACCTGCCGATTTTCAATCAAGCACGGCTCAACCAAATTTCCTCGATGGAGATGTGGTTGCCGAAGAACTCGGCCATATTGATTTTGTGTCGATTGCTGAAGCTAAGTCAGCAACGAAAGATGATGGTTTAAAGGCTGCCTTGGCCGAATTATTCCCTCGTTCATCGTCGACCAAGCTTCACCATTTAAAGCCATTGTATGTGACGGCCCACATTGAGGGATATCCAGTTTCTAAAGTTTTTGTCGACTGTGGGGCTACCGTCAATATCATGCCTCTGAACATCATGAAGGCCTTACGCCGTTCGAATGACGAGCTTATTCCGTCAGGAATCACAATGAGTAGTTTCGTCGGCGACAAATCCCAAACCAAAGGTGTACTTCCGTTAACTGTGAATATTGCTGGTCGCACCCACATGACCGCTTTTTTTGTGGTTGATTCCAAAACCGAGTATAATGCGTTGCTTGGCCGAGATTGGATCCATCAAACCAGTTGTATTCCTTCGTCGTTGTATCAAGTGCTTGTCTTTTGGGACGGCAAATCGGTCACTGTTCACCCGGCCGATAGCCAGCCCTTCGAAGCGAACATGATCCAAGCCCGGTATTATGATGACCACGTCGGCTATATTACGTTGCAAGGCTTCAATGAAGACGGACGGCCGACTCGGATTTCAGTTCAGAAAGCTATCGAGGTTGGCGCCGAGACTGTCCACCAGGATTCGGCGAGACTCGGATTGGCCAATTTTCTCCCCGAATCTGATGTCTGACACATATCAGGACAAACGTAGGGCCGCGGTTTCATCTACGATGGAACGACTGCTGGCCCATTGGTATGCTATATCTCGGCAACCGAATTCCGGCGTTAACCTCGTTGAGTTCCTTGCCGAAAAGGATCATGGTCCTGCCTTATCTTTTGATAAAGTCCGAGCCGCCCCGGCTGAGCTCGAGGATCATCGGCCCCAAGTTAAGGACCCCCTAGAAGAAATTAATGTTGGGACGGCCGATGACCACGACCTTTGTTTGTTAGCGCTTTACTTCCTCAACAAATGAAGGACGAGTTGCGTGCCTTGCTTACGGAATTCAAAGATTGCTTTGCTTGGAGTTATCATGAAATGCCCGGCTTAGATCGTGCTCTGGTCGAGCATGAACTACGTATTAAGCCCGGATTTAAGCCTTTCCGTCAGCCACCTCGCCGATTCTCGACCGAAGTACAACTCAGTGTCAAGGACGAACTAGTTCGGCTTTTGAAAGCCG